ACACTGCGGAACCGTGCATGGATTGGGGCATTGTGAATGAAGTACGTGGCGAGAGCGATTCGGAGGAATCGGATTGCAAGTACGATGAAGCTTTGGAGCCAGTGCTTCATGCAGCTTTTGCCACGGGCCTCGGCAATGAGCAGCTTTAAATGAACTCCAGACCGCCCTTATCGCTTCTGATCCTCGAAATACGTGCATCACAGACTTTTTGGGGCCAAAAAGTTTGTGTTTTCACTCGCAACTTTTTTTAAAAGCTGTGTTTCATTTGCTACGAACTTAGTGATACAGCGAACGGATGCCACGTCACGCTCAGGTTCGTTATAAGCGAGCTCTACTGTATACTACGGAGAGCAAGCTGATTGGCTTGTGATTCTTCAAGTTCTTGTCATTTCTTTCCTTTTGTATTAAGATGATGTTAGCATTCTTCTAAGATTCTGGTACTCTTCCAGCCAGGAGACTCCTCGTAAACAGGGTGGCTAGTTGCTTCTAACACAATGTTGTCTTCCACATTTCAGCAGATCTGATGCTACCTGATCCTCACCAGCAGCTTTGCCTTCTTGCATGCTCTCCAAGGCTTTTCTGACTTCTATCATTACTGGTGGGGTGTCATCTGGGTTACTGCTAGTTCTTATAGTATTAAGGTCGTTTGACTAGGCTACTGTACAGATCTTTGTTAAACTCCTCCACTATTTTAACTATCCTATCCATATTGGTAGTTATTTTGCCTTCTTTGTCCCGTAGTGCATACATCCGATTTTTGTCTATCCCAAGTTTCCTCTTCACTGCTTTGACGCTTCCGTTTTTCAGAGCGTGTTCAGTTCTCTCCATGTTATACCTTCTTACATCGCATACCTTACGCCTATTAATCAACTTCGAAAGCTCTGCGAGTTCTATTTTGTCTGTTGTACTTGAGACTTTCATGATTTGACGCTTTTTAATGAGATTCTTTGTTTCCTGGGAAAGCTTGCCAGTGTCCTGTTTAACTACCCTGCCTCCAACTTCCACTGCACACTCCATAATGATACTCGTCGGATTATCATTCATTGTGTCTACGCTAAGGTTGGTTTCCTCACTAAGAGCCGAGTATTTGTTCTGAAGCGAGACTCTGAATTCCTGTACTTTCCCTCTCAGTGCTAGCTCATTGATTAGCTTCTTTCGTATTAGTTTCTGTCGTTCCTTCCTTAAGTCTAGGCGAATTTGAGACCGCACCATTCTATGGTCACTGCATCGTACCTTGCCAAGAACTTCCACATCCTGCACGATGCCTGGGTACGCACTGATTATAAAGTCTATTTCGTTCTTATTTTCGCCATTAGGGCTCCTCCATGTCCACTTGCGGTTTCCTTGTTTTTGGTAGAAGGTATTCAAAATAGATTAAAGAATACATTAACCAAAACAAGGAATTTTTAACTTTAGAATGTAATACACAGAGGTAAACTGCTTTTATGCCCGAGAACACCCCTATAACATTGAAAAAAAAAAAAAATACTAAGTTAGCGTCGATACTTCTTTTAGTTATCTGCTCGGGTTTTCGTGCCAGGACTGATATGTTTAAGTATTTTTATCCATTTGCACCAGTTCTACGTGCTGGTCAGAAGTGTAAAAATAAGGTACTTTCATTGAAAGAAAACAATGCGAGGAAACACGCTGACCTTTTGCATATTGAGCCTGATCCTGGACACTGGCAGGGAGCCATTAGCATTGCGGAGCTTGTCCAGATTGGCGACAGATTGCTCACCTGCATTCTGGAATAAAATTACAAGGGACACTGTGGAAACCCGTTGATGCTTGCAGAACAGCACACACGAGAAAGAGGGAGCAATCCTCCCTTAGAAGAAAGTGGGAAGCCGCATACCCATCAGCCAAAAACATGGTCCCCTCGAAGTAAATAACGATAAAAGTAATGGGTTCATAGGTGACAAAGCAATATAGCCTACTTATAGATATGCAAGTAGTGTAGTGAGTGTATACAATAAAACATTGGCATAATGAACTTCAGTGTAATGAAATTTTCAGTATAGTGAAGTACAGTATGGTCTGCTGTCAGGGAGAACACGCGAGTGCGTGGCCGGCGGAGCGCCAACTACTGCTGAGATTTCAAAATGCGGCGCATGCTGTCGTACAGCCAGCTCCCATTTAAAATTACCGTGGCTTTAGCTCGCAGAGAACTGCTTGGGGAAGTCTGTTATCAGCCGTCAACACGGCTAAAGTCCGCTTTATGCGGCGAATTGTGACAAGGAGTGCCGCCAATTTCATCTACTGTAGCCGATAGTCCGTTGTCTCACAGTCCGTTATCGTTAAAAGCGAAGTTAGCTCCATTACGTCTTTAGCTCTCGGAGAACTGTGTGGGGAAGTCTGTTACAATCAGGCCACGTCAGCACGGCAATAGTCCGCTTCGTGCGGCGAATTTTGACAAGTGCCGCCAATTTTCGTCCACTGTAGACGATAGTCCGTGGTGTCACGGTTCGTGAACCGTTAAAAGCGAACTTAGCTGCATTACCGTATTTATTTGAATCTAGGCCAATAGCTTTTTTAAAAACTTTTTGTATCATATTCTAAGGTCGACTTTGATTCGAGGATTTTGAAAAATGAGTTATTTTTCATTGAGATAAGTGGTGCACAACTAGCGTCGCCTAGACGAAATTGTGGCCGCTAGTAGCAGAGCCAGCACTTGGCTTAAGTACACACGAGGCTGTCATTTTGATCGTTGTGCAAAGTGTTGAGGCAAGCAGTTAGTCATCTCTAGTCCCGCTTTGAGTGATCCGTATGTGGCGTAGCTCAATGGCGCCAAACAGGTGGTGTGATTATAGTGCCGCTTATAAAAGAACAGTGGTCCTAGCCACGAGTCGTTGTCCAACGTTCAAGCCGGGCGGGACTTTCGAGTGTACTAAATAAATGTGCCTCGCTAGAGGAGCTGCTGATGCTGCAACGTGGTACCCAGGAACTTTGATTGTGCACTCGTTTAGAAACTTGGCGTATCCAATGCTCTTGATGGCACTGAGCCTTGCGCACTGTTTAAAGACTGTGACGAGGAAAGCAGGGACGCCGAGTTGGAATGGGCGCTGCATCGGCAAGTGCAGCATCTTTTATGATGCAAATAACTAGAAGCAGCACGGAAAAAAACAATACACGCAGAACAAGACTAGTGGCTGTACGTTTGTTGGGTTACTTGCATCATGAAGCAACGGCTCTGTTTAATCTTTAGGTTATCGTCGTCCCAGAGGTATTATGTCCTCCGACCTCGGCTGCCTCACCATTGTCAATGTGTCGCACATTGGCGGCCCTTTCGTCTGCGTTGCAGCAGGTTAGCAGTCTCCCGACGAAGTGGGTGCACTCGCTGTGGTTCGACGGAAGGTCAGATCTTTAGTTGCTGCCAAGCTGCCCCAGTTGCTCGGGAAACCACTTGAGAGACTTGACAGCAATCGCGCCAGACTTGAAATCTTTGGCTCTGGCGTTTAGTATGTGCGCCGCCTCGACAGAAACCCATCCCTTGGTAAAGTTTCGGACCACTGTCTTGGCTTCATTTGCAATAAGTGTGTCCTCGCTTCTACTATGACCTATTGCGAGGGCTATAGCGATTTCTTCTGCCACCTCAAACGATGGCAGCCTCGCAGATCCCGTCACCAGAGTTGGTTCTCTTGTGTCGACAATCGCCATGGAGAAGGCAGGTGTCGATTGACGCCATTGTTGATCTCGCTCGTTCTGCTGTTGTCCTTGGTCGGGGATATTTAGCAGCGTCGACAGAAAAAAAAACACCCTCTCTGTTGCCGTTCTCTTTCAGGATTGCCTCCGCTCTGCATCTGCACCTTTCGGCATCGTGCACTGGGTGCATGTTTTTGGGCATATCCTCTGCGAGTAAAGCATTCTTGACAGCTGGCGATAGCGCGTCCTTCAGTCCCCGCATTCCGTGGTAACGAATCTCGAGGGAGTCGAGGATAGTTCTTTCGATCTTGATGCCTGACAGTCTCTCGAGCTGCGCGGTCCTCTGAGCTTCGATGATTTTTGCGAGCGTGTTGTGCACGCCCAGCTCAAGAGCCTATAGTTGGCCGTGTAGTGAGGTACGCCTAATGCAGTTTGTAAGCCCTGCGGATGATCGAGTTCGGCTTGTTGCTTTTGCTTCTACTCCGATTGACGTACGTAGCAACGTACGTGATGTGGCTTAAAGCATACGCCTGTATTAGCCTCACTACATGGTGCTCTCTCATTCCTTTCCTCTTGTTTGTGATTGTTTTGCAGTTGTGTGACCAGCTCGGCATTACCACCGTTTTATTCCAGTCAGAGGCCGAGTACTCTTATCTTGGACATTGTGGGTATGTGGACTCCTTCTTTTGTTGTGACACACACGTCCGTCTTACAAGCCTCGGCCACATTCCTCGGGGCGTATCCCCGTTTTCGAGGTCTGTGGAGCAGGATTTCAGACTTGTTTTAAGCGCAGATGAGCCCCGTGCCTTCGTGGTGCTTCTCAACTTCCCTGATCGCCCCCTGCAGCCTGTCTTGTAGACTCCCAGAACTCATGCTTTCTGTGGCCCACATCGTAATATCGTTCGCGTGGATGGTATGATTGATGCCTTCGATCCTGTCGAGCCGCTACCGAAGGCCAATCATAACGAGGTTGAACAGCAATTGGGTTGAGCACGAAGCCTTGCGGTGTCCCGGCACCTCCTATCTCGACCGTTCTTGGTGGTAACTCATCTATCTTGATTCGCGCTTCTCGTCCGTTGAGGAAGCTGCCGTCATACCAGTGGAATCTCTCCCCTTGGTTTAGCTAACTGATCTTCTTCTGTGTGGTCGTGTAAATACGGTAATTTAATACACAGACCCAACTCAGGCTGAATAATGGTCTCTTGTTTCCGAAAGTTTGTTCTATGCGGGTCTGTTATAACAATCATACACTGTAGTAGGCACTATGGTGGTCCTATAGATTATGGTAAACTGGTGCTTGCGTATGTAAACACAATTAAAATGGTAAATGGAAATGGAGGCTGTCCTTGGTAATGCAGGTGCTGGACCAAGGTGCAGCATCGGGAGCCCTGTTTGCGGAGACATCAGAGGCGGACGTGGAAGCTCTGCTCAAGGCCAACCTAGGTGCTGAGGACCTACTCAGCCCCATCGACCTGGTGCTGCTCGATCACTGTTACTGCACACCCATAGTGGGACAGTTGGTCTCCGAGGAGCCTGCAGCCGCTCCAGAAACAGTGCTTACACTCAAGCAGGACCACGACTCGTGAGTGCTGGTTGTTCCACTTATGGGGGCTTTTGTATTAGTAAATAATTGCAAAAATAAAAAATAAAAATTTGTAGCAGAAAAAATAAAAAATTTGTAGCCCTTTTTACGGTGTAGACTGCTTATAACAAAACAGGTTATAGGGCTAGCCTGGTTACAGTACAGTCTTTTTTGACTTCCGTTCGGCAAACGGGAGTCCGTTTGACTCCCGTTTGCCCTCCCCTAGAATCCCATGTAGAGTGGAAGTTTGATTATGCGTCCTGTCATTCTTAAATTGGTAAGTCGATTTCCATGGTTCGCCGTTCCCACCCCAAAAGTATGTTTAAGTCGGAACTTATTGAATTTAGAATGGGGTTCGTGGTAGAAAAGTCCACTGTAAAGGAGTCTTAACCACCTAAAAAAAAATAACTAGTCTACGTATGTCGTATAAATAATGCATGGCTGCTTGTGTGGAGAGGTATTACCAGTATCATTTGTTTTATCGCTTAGGGCTATACGCACGTGCTTTACGAGATAGTCGGTGCGGCGAGGTTTCTTGGCTCCGGCGATGCAATCTTAAAGGTGGTCCCGCACGAGGTGGCCGTGAACAACGGTGAAGCGCCCTTTTGTTGTCTGTTAAAAGCTCTTGACACCATCATGTGAGGCTTTTCTTTGATCGAAAGACCACTGTTAGTGAGATTCTTGTGCAGTCACAAGTTTTGTATTCTTTTTGAGTATGCCGCGTTTTTCTTTTTAGACGTTTCCGGGAGACCTAGTTTTTAATAAAACCTTTTTTCTTTAAGAGGAGATGCTACTCGAAAACCGATTTTCTTTAATAAGAGTCTGAATTTAAGACAAATTGGCATGCTAATAGAGTTTTTTCTCCACTTTTCAAATATGTCATTTATTTTCATGTAGATTGCGTGGTTGTATTTCTGCAGGTCAGATACTGCAAAATAATGGCCATTGTTATGCAACAATTCTGACCTATAAAAATTTGAGATAAAGCATGCAGATATAGCTGACTATGATCCTTTGCAACTGTAGAGTGCAAAAAACTATATAAATTATGTGTGTAAAAAGGTGAAATACAATAATAAAATAGAAAAATTTACTATGGCTCTAGTTGCCAAGGGCTTTCAATGTTATGTAATTTTTTAAAAAAATAATCAAGCAGCACTGACAATCAGAATAGATACTTGCACTCTATGGGCCGTCATCATGCTATGTGCAAAATTTCATAGAGGTACGACAATTCTAAGCATACGAACTAGCGTGCATAAGAAGCACAGATCACACAAAACTGCAAAAGGAGAAAAACGCATTTGAAAGTTTGAAACCTTTTTTTTTTATCACAGAGTTGTTAGAAATGCATAATCTTTGGCCATAATGTTCAACAGAACTTTGAAAAGCACTGCAAGTTACTAGAACTGTCCTGCAGCATAGGTTGTGCCCTCACAGTCCTTGCAAGCACTCTCTTCTAGCCGTGCCCTTTTCACTCCACGACGACGGTGGGCCCTTGCTTCTGCTGTCAGACGCTCGGACATTCTCTTGATGCGCCTCGCATCGCAGGGAATCATTAAAAGTAACTAGATCTCTAGATGGCAGTATGTTGAGCTCTTCCAGGATGTGCTCGAAAGTAGCATGACCCTTGTTGAACCACAGGATTGTCATAGCTGCGGCAGTCTCGATAACCGTTCGGGAGACAAACTTAGTCTTGGGCAAAGTAGCCAAATTTCGCTGTTCAGGGATTCCGATGCGTTCTGGGTTTTCCCTTTGATGCATCTAGCAAGGAGCTTCTCATCCGTTAGCCGCTTATAGATGGGAAAAACAGCCAATCCCTGTGCTTTTGTCAGGAGAGGTGTGTGGCGTGGTGCAGGTTCACCAAGTGCTTCAGCGCGTTGATGTTTGCACCACGACTCTGTTCCTGCAGGGCAAAACTTGTGGCTGCCAGCATTGTCAGTAGAGCATGAGTGGAAGTACGAAGCCCATACTGCAGTGTACATATCCCGTACACTCCCCCTGTTGCTTGTTATGGCAATCTGATAGTATGTTTGGAGCTTCTGAATGGCTGTCTCTTTCATTTTCTGCCCTCGTGGTAATGGCACATGCAGCTTCCGTAGCGCGGTGCCAAGTCTCTTGGCCACATGATTAGTGCAGTCTTCTTTTTCTATATTGACAGCACCATTGACTTTTGACTCTGCAACTGCACTATATGCTTTGCTGTCACCGTCACTCAAGAATGTCATGAAATGCAGTGGGGTGTCATAAGTCAATGTTCTCTGCCAAATGCGCATTGCAGCCTCCGTTTCCATGGCATGGGAGGAACAGTCTGCATTTTTTTCACAGACTGGGCCATGGAATGCCTGCCACACTTCCTCGTCTGGGCCCATATCTTTGTGCCTACTGCATGTCAGGCAGTAATTTGATATGACCTCGAAGTCTAAGCAGAGGCCAGTATCTAAGGAGATAACTGCGCCAATCCTGTTGTGGCTTTTGTGGCCCCTCTTCTGCCAAGTGCCGTCGAACATAACAGCCACATCAGTTTCGCCTGCTACTTCTTTCGTCAACTCTCTGGATCGGCGCAAGTTTTCACTCACAGCTGCCATGGCAGCGGTGTGCACCTTCTTTGCTATCGAAAAAAATCCTCGGTGGTGCATTGGCTTTGGGAGTCCAATAATGGAGCAAAATCTCGACAATTGCTCATGCCCAATGCCGACAGCGCGTGCAGCCACCACCGCCTTCGCATTTACAGCGAAACTATCTCGGGAGCTCCCACTGTCGTACCGTTGGCTCACTCGGCTGCTGCCGTCCGCCGTAACACGCAGTGACGTATAGGAGCACGAAAGAACAGTCGCTGAGCATTCGCTGTTTTCGCAATGAAGTTCGAGGAGAGATGAAAGTCCCTTGCGCTTTTCTGCCGGCTCCTGAACGGCAAGTTTTTGAAAACCGCAAGCAAGGCATGCCGCACCTGCCACAAGTGCCGTCAGCAAGAGGGTGTCGCACAAAACTGTCGTTGCACAAACCTCATCGCGCTGTCTTTCGTCTTTTTCGAAGAAGCCGAGCTTCTTTTCCGAAGCACTGACGAAAGAAAGCGCAGCGTCAATCTTTTTATCGCAGCCACTGTCGCTCGCGCACTCGTCGATGCCGCCGTCAGGCCTAGCACACGTAGGCGCGTTCTCGTTAGTCGCCGTCGTTCAGGGCGCTTTACGCCGCCTTCCCTTGAACTTGTGCTTTGTCGAAACTTCTGCGGTCTCACATTGCACTTTTTCGGGCTTGTCATCGCGGAAATATGCGTAGACGCGCAGAAAAGCAGACGGACCAAATGCCGATGGCCGCCACCAACACAGCTGACAATGACTCGGTAGCCAATAGCGATGCGGCTTAGGGTGCCGCGCATTTCAAACCGCTCAAACCACGTGATAAAAAGGCCTCCTTTTTTTTTTTTTTTTTTGCCCACGTACAAAACTGGCGGTCGTCGGAGCTGTAAGAAGAAGGCCGGACGCAACTTTCCCAACCGATCGCGATGGCGGGCGGCACTGCGACGGGGAGCAGCGCCCAGTCAAAGATGGCCAATATCGGCGCAAATTCACGAAATTTTGAGCCACTGCGATGCCTTCATACACATTTTTTTGCATTTTGCGGTTCGAATTTAGTTTTGAAATTTTCACAAATTAAAGAAGGTTTGAAGATTACAATGCAATAAAAATCAGAAATACGAGAAATTTCGCTAAAACGCGATTTTTCGACTCGCATCTCCCCTTAAAATATTATTTCACATGTTACGAGGACCAGGTAGGTCATGTGGTATGTAAAAAGGTAGTGCAGTTTATACCTGGCGATAATTTGTTTAAAAAATTGGCCCGAATCTACATGTTACATTGTAAATGTCGTCGAAAAATGATAGTCTTGCGTCTGGAGAGAGTGGACAAAACATTTATTTGATGTTCTGCGCAAGAAAATCGGTGAATGGTATTCTGCAGGGGCTGTGTTAGAGTGCCTCGAGTGTGTAGCGGGGGCGAACAAGCGCATTTAGGCACGTTAGACACAAGCGCCATGTGGCAGTTATCTTCGAAAATGAAGGCGCGCGCGACAACGGAGAAAGATGCATGCCAGTCTCTGAGGTAATACGACGTAGAACGCAAAGCGACGGGCAGGTGTCACCACCGTGTCGTCGTAGCAAAGCGTTGGAAACACCTTCTCGAGCATCGCGTTGCACTGTCAGCGCAGCACAATAAACGCTACAGTCCTTAGAGTTACTTTTGTGTGCCTCTTCTAGCATAAAGGCAGACATACAAAACACGTGATGTTATGGCACCTCAGATATGCGCATTATTTGCTTTCTTAATTGACAATCGCACAACTATGAACGCTAAACCTTGAGCATTATTGGTGGGCGCTGTGGATGCGGTTGGCCGTTTAATGCAGTCTGAGGTATCGTTAGGGCAGACAAACAGACAAATGTACAGACAGACCAAAATTTTTTCGTCGAAGGTCCCCAAGAAAGACTGGCGTCTTTAAAACTTCCTTTGAAACCTGTTTCAGTGTTTCGTGTATTACAAGCCAATTAAAATATGCACTGGTGCCTTCACATTGCTAAATATTTGTATTTTCAAGCTTCCAGGACGTCGTATAAATGCCACGAACTGCTACGAAGCAAGGTTCTCCTGCTCCAAAATTGAAATTTTCTGCTCCAAAAACTGCTCCCAATTGAGTCTCGGGCGTCTCATCCCTGCAATAAGACAAACATTTATTATAGTTTTCGGACTCGGTTATATCTTTCTGGATGTGCTCACTACTACATTGTTTTCTTGAGTGCACTCAACTGCACAGTTTGCTTGCACCATCACTGCAAGTGTGTGCCGGCTTGTCGGCTGCAAGAGAGTTTTGCAGCGATTCCTCTGAATTACTACTCAACTGCCAGATCAGAATCTGATTCAATAAATGTAAGCTCATTATACATGGAGTTTCTTAACAATTTAAGACTCTAATTTTCTTGAGCTAGCAAAATCTCAAAAGCA